TTTTAATTATTTTAATTATTATTTTATTATATTAAATATAATAATAAATTTATATTATATTGTAATTATATAATAATATAATATAGTCGTAATTTTTAATTATTTAAAGAAATTCAACCTCATAATTTACCAAACGTTATTACGCTAATTTTAGAATCAACACAGCTACTATAATTATAGTTTACCAAACACTCAGCTGCTTTTTGTAACAGGTGCTTCTTCCTTCAACAAAACTAAAAACAATTTTTCTAAAATCTACAGCACTACCAAACTAAGCCATTATGTGTTTGGATAAGTTAATGCATGTTCTAAATATACTGCTACCGGACATTAACACAGGATTACAACATTAATTGATTAATAATGGAGTTACTCGAGAGACTTCTCAAAAGCAATCACGATTTTCTTCTTCAAATACCAATTTCATTTCAACAACAATAAACAAAACCAACCCTATTTTTCCTAAATCAGCCGATAAAAATTCTATAGCTACACCAAAATTTACCACCTTCATCAATAACCCATGAATGACCCATAATGTGTTGGCCAAATGCAGGGAAAAAAAAAAAAAAACAAATGCAGCGAAATTACATGGGTATTAAAGGTCTTTACCTTCTTTAGTGTGACGCACTCACAAGCTCTGCAACGCCAACTCCTCTCACTCGCAATTGGAGTTGTTACTCAAACTCGTTTTAAAAGACCGGACTCAATTTCGACTATCTAGTAGCATATCACACAAACCCAAACACCATATATTTGTTTGGTTGGTCGTTCGAATTGCAATGATTTGGTTGAATTGTAGAATTCGAATTGTGGTGATTTAAATTGCGATTCGAACCCGTGTTTGAATACGTAAATAAATTGTAATTCAAATTGGGAATAAAATCTAATTTGTGTTTGGATTGAGTGTTGAAAACTGTCATTAACAAATCTTAGAAGATATCATTGTAAATGACATATTTTATATGCAATTTAGATGATGATTTGTTCCTCTCTTCATTATGAACATATTGGAAAAAAAAACATGTCAATTAAGATTGAAATGAAGAAATTATGACATTTTTAAGTCTGAAGTTGAAGAGAGAAAAGTAAAAAGTAAATTATTTTTCTTGTTTTCAACCATTAGGATTGTTGAATTTAGAGGCAGGGGTTAATTCTAAAATTAAGGATTTAAATTGGAGTTAATGGTATGGTTCTCATTTAATTCTCTATCAAACATCAATTTAAATCTAATTGGGCTACCATTCAAATTGAATTTTTAAGTTTAAATGGTTAAAACAAGATTTATCAAGAATAAAAAGTAAATTTCTAAATTTATACACTCTCAAAGGTAAATTATTTATTTTTTCTTGAAAAAAAAAAAAAAATTGCTCCAAATCAAAACCCACATTCATTGAGAAACAAAGCTGAGACCCTTAAAACGAAATACAAAAACGACATGTGTTGAGGAAGGAAAAAATAAACTTTAGGTTTATCCAAGTTATTTTTTTATTATTTTATTATTAGCTATTCCCTGACTATAACAAGTAGCGACCTTTCTCGTTAAACAAAAGCAAATACATAAAAACAACAGTTAATCAACGCCGTTGAAATAAAATCTTGCTGAAAATCATGTGGCTGATCAGACAGGCGTTTTTGGGAGTGCTTGAGCAGAGACCATTCCTAAATTTTTATGTTAACACAGTTAAAAAATATATAAAAATTAATGATATTTTCTTTTATGTTACTTTCACGTTTGATTCTTTTAGTAATTATCTATAGTCATGATAGTAGATTCTATAATTACTTGCGGTATTTTCTTTTTAGAAAAAATTAACATATATTATAGCATGTGTCATCTGTTAATACGAATAAAGACTACAAGTGAGATTGAACTCACAAAATACTCTTAAAAAAAAGAGAAGGCAAAAAAAAAAAAAAAAAAAAAAAAAAAGAAATTGAAACATTTTTTAAAAAGTCAAACAAATAATCTGAATTTAAACTTTTCTTTCAAAAAAAAAATCTTTCTTTCACGAACTTGTAGTATTATTTTCTTTTTCTTTTTATTCTTTTCAAGGTTATTTTTTGCACTTTAAAGTTTGAAACGGAGCGTTGAGTAAGAAAATGTATAAATTTGTACATTAAATGTAACATGATAATACAAAATGTAAGACTTCAAAATACATGATTTATTTTCTAAACAATAACAATATCCATGATGATAAATAAGTAAAAATAACAAGGTATCCTGATAGAGCATAAAAAAAAAAAAAAAAAAAAAACTCATTTCTCGCTTACAAAAAGAACAAATATATAAACACCAAAGTTCTTAATGATTACGTTTCTACTAATGAATACTCATTAAATATAGAAATTTAATGTGTAGAGTAATAAAAATTCATTCTCATTAATTACCATACATATTTTTATCAATGATTTAATTTATTACAACTGTCTAAATTAATATCTCATGGTTAAAACTACACATATATAGCAGGCACTATATAGTTTATAATGATGTTTTCAAATATATATATTTTTCTTATATAGAATTATTATTCCCAAATGTTTTCTTAATACATGGTCCAAATCTCTGGGGGTAAATCAGTCTTTTCACCAACAGTCGAGATAGACTAGGGTTTTGCTTACATCTCACTATATTTAGTTTAGTCAGTGCCCACAACGAAAAACCAGAGAGACTGCTGTGCCGTTGTTTCTAGGGTTAGGGTTTCGATATACCAGAGAAGAAGAAGAAGAATCTAGACGGATATGGGAGTTTTTACGTTCGTGTTGAGAAGCTCCGGCGGCGAGTGGACCGCGAAGCAGCACAAGGGCGATCTCGAGGCCTCGGCGGCGTCCACCTACGACCTCCAGAGGAAGCTCGTCCAATCCGCTCTCTCCCAAGACTCCTCCGGCGGCGTCCAGACCGCTTTCTCTCTCATCACCCCTTCCTCCGCCGTTTTCCAGGTCTGATTCTCTCTCCGATCTCAACCATTTTCATTTTTGTTTTGCTTTCTCTCAGCATTTTGTTGTTCACCAGAAAAAAGATTAATCTGTGTTGGTGGAATTCAGAATTTATCGGTTTTGATTTGTGTTTCAAGTCTGATAATCGACAATTTTTAGTGCAAATAATAGTAATTTGTTGATTTGGTGAATACCTAGATTTTGAAATACTTGGGATTTCTATTGCAAGTAAATACTGATGATTTTGATTTAAACTAGAAAGTATTGGTTTTGATTTGATCTGATAATCGATAATGCTAGAAAGTATTGAAAATCTAGAATTGGAATGAGGAAGATTTGTCTTTCAGAAATTTGTAGAGAAAATCGGCCTCAATTTGTTAAAGACCGGATTTTTGTGTAAAATCTTATTTTTGGCTTGGGACTTTGTATTGTAAGTCGTAACTGAATGCTGACAATTTTATTGATGAATTTGATTAATACTAACATTGATCAATGTTATTATTGATATTAGTGAACGATAACATATTTCTACAAATTCTTTCTTCAAATTGTTTGTTGATACTTGATACTGCTATTTTCATATTTGATTGATAGTAACTAGACTTTTGACTTAACAAGAAGCCTTTTCCCATTTGTTTGGGCAGGTTATTGTTGGTGGCGGCGGCGGCGGGGGGTTCATTGCTGGTGGAGGTGCTGCCGCGGCTCCTGCTGGAGGCGCGGGAGCAGCCGCTGCTGAAGCTCCTCCAGCCGAGGAGAAGAAGGAAGAGAAGGAAGAGAGTGACGACGATATGGGATTCTCACTCTTCGATTAGACTCCTCACTTGTTTATCATATGTTTCGCACTGTGAGCATTTTGCAACTTGAATTGGACTAGAATTTAGATATGGATATGTGAGTTTTAGAAATTTTGTTTTGTTAAGTTCAAATATTGTTGGACAATTTACTTCCTTTGTTTTAGTGTTCTAAGTGATTGTTGAAATATTCTACTCATCTATCTTTTTGGCCATGACATCATGCTAAACTAGCAAATCTTATATACTACTATGTTTGATACTGTGGTTGCTGAACCTGAAAACACGTCCCATTCTTTTCACAATTCCATCTTTTTATTACAGTGTTTTCTCTCACAAGAATTTTAATTTTGGCATTTTCCGCTCGAACCCAGGAAAAGAACGGGGGCAATAATGGCTGAATCTGAGAGCATAATTTGCTATTCTAAATTGGCTTATTGTTTTGTATTCCATTTTCATGTTGCAATTTGGAACAATCATCAGAAGATTTGTATCGCATTCGCATCTGAAACCGAGGGACATAATTTGTGATTCCAACTTGGTTTGTCTTGCATGATCAATCATCAGAAGTTACAATGTGCATGAGATTGGAAAGTCGAGAGTTTACGCAAATCTTGTCTGTTATAAAATCAAACCTTCTAAAGTGGTTTAGCAAGAATGAATTTGATTTGCAGCGACTCTTCAATCAAAGAGAGAACAGTAAATTCGATGAAAATTGCGCCTTCATTGTTCAACATTGATTCCAATGTTATTGAGTTCTCAAGCAAGAACGAGCCATGTTTTAAAATTGAGGTCTAATTTGGAACAATTTCATAGATTAGGACTAAAATAACATTTTGAAAGTTGGTTACCAAAAATGCAATTTGGCCTATTGTTCCGGACTATGAATGGGATTAACGCTACTGTAATATTAACGAGCTTCGATGCTGGCTTATAGCACGCACTCTTGAAGACAAAAATTCAATAAAATAGATTCAGATTTAAAAAAAAAAAAAAATTCTTGAAATGAAAAATAAACAAAACTCTTTTTTAAAATTTTTGATCAACGAATGATGTAAGAAATATTAGTATTTTTAGAAAAAGAGAGAAATATTAGTATTTTTAGAAAAAGAGAGAAATATTAGTATTTTTAAAAAAAGAGAGAAATATTAGTATTTTTAAAAAAAGAGAACACTAGATAATTTTTTTTTAATTTTATGAATTGGGCGAAGCCCATTATCATTTTAGAAAGTTTGTAAAAATTACACTTAACACATTCATTAGAGTTGAGTTGAAACATAAAAATATTTTTGAAATACTTTAAGATAAAAAAATTAAATAATAATTATATTAATAATACTGATGTTTATACTAAAAATGACAATAATTATTTACTACTATTAGATTGACTATTTGTAAAAAAAAAAAAATTACATTTGAAATACTTCAAAAGTATTCGAAATCTTATGATGTATTTCAATATGACAAAAAATTCTAAAAAATATCCTTAATTCATGTTTATGCTACAAGTTTTGGTGGCTTAAAAATTTTGGTAAGCCTTTAAGTCCAAACACCCATAAAATCTGATAAGTATATATATTTTTTATTTCATATAACATCGTTCATTTGTAGATGCAACATTCAATTTGTTTAATTGTAATACTCAAAATAATATACGCTGGATTACAATATTTAAATTTTACACGTAAGTAAGTACATGAGCGTTACACACACGAATGAACAATGTTCAACAGAAATACGAAAAAATATACATTTATCAAACCAATCTAGTACCCACTTAAGCCATATGAGTAAATATTTTACAAAAAGTTCAAAAATGTTCTCAATATAGTTTTTGACTAAAAAGAATATTAATGAATAAGGAATAAAAATTTAGATTCACACACTTAAAAAGTATTTTTCTCATTTTTTTTTTATTTATAGAAAATTTTCTGATACAGTTAGCAGTTAGCGTATCAAAAAATTAAGTTTTATAATTATTAAATTTATATATTTTTTAATTTTTATGTAATTGCAAATCTCCCGAAAAAAAATATGACCTGACCATAAATTGCGTACCGGCTTCTATGTCCAAAATGCCCATCTCAGAAAGTTTCGGTGAAAACCATCATTTTCCGAGAGTTTTTCTCCTTTTTCTTGTTTCATCGTCACTTTAGACTTGAGTTTTGATTTTAGAGAGCATTACCAGCCCCCACCAGTCCCTCCGCCGTCGCCAACACCAGCCGCCGACAAACCTCCGGTCCCAGCCCGCTGCCTCGAACGTCGTGATCGAAGGCGACGCCATGGCCTTGAGAACAGTGACGAGGAAGCTTTGTTCTAGACTTCCATTGCCCATGTTTTCTTCCGCCAATGCTCTGCATTCCCATGCCACAAGTTTTGGTCGGTGCAACTCTCTCTCACACTCTTTCTCTGTTACGACAATTATAATTCATTTTGGTTCACTGGACTCTTTGTTAATTTACTAACTTTTGGCCATGGAGGAAAAACATGAAAATTAGGGTTAAAAAATGATGAATTTTTTCATTTGATGGTAGCTTATGAGCAATTTTCTCTTCAAAACCATTATGCAGATAGATTTGTTCCCCTATTTACTTGAAAAGTGCAATTTATGCACTATCTGAACAATTATTATTATTATTTTTAATTTTCTAGTTGAAAAGAAGAAACCCATTTAACTTCTAACTATAACTATCTTGTTTGAAATATTAGATAAATACATAATTCACAAATAGCACTGTATCTGCAGGATTTAAAGAAGTAAAGGAAGATGAAAAAAGCCAAATGGTTGGTAACGTGTTCAGCAGTGTTGCTTCAAACTATGATCTTATGAATGATTTAATGAGTGCTGGATTACACAGATTATGGAAGGATAGGTTAGCCTCTTGTAATGGAGCCTTTTTTTTTTAAAACAATTGTTCTTTATTTACCATGTTTAGCTGAATTTCTTATTTCTATTTTCTCTCTTTTTTTCCCCTTTATGTGCCTAATTTTCAGATTGGTTTCTGAACTGAATCCATTTCCTGGTATGAAGCATCTTGATGTGGCCGGTGGGACAGGTCAGTGTACACCATAACGACATAGATGCAACACGTTTTTGTTGTGTAGGGACATCAGAGATTGTTTCAATAACTACAATTAAAACATTAGAGATTGTTTGGTTGGAGGGAAAAGTAAAAGGACTAAGGAGGGACAGGGGTGAGGGTATTAGTGGAAAAGATTTTTGGATCCGTGGTTGTTTGATAGAGAGGAAGGAGAAGGGAATGGCTTCAAACTCACAATAGAAAGGGATTAGAGGAGCGAATCCGTACCAAACACAATAAGAGAAAGGTCCTCCCCTTTCTGTCCATTTTCTGCACTCATGTTCCATACCTTTCTTTCCCTGTTACCAAACACAGCCTTAGGGAAAGGAAATTGGGCGATTTTAATGGATAAAAATAAGAAGACAAGGCTGTTTATGAGGAGTTCTGTAGGAAAGGGTCAAGTGTTTTGTGGTCCTTTTAAGTTCATAGAATCCTTTCAATTATTATTTTGATTTTTTTTTTCTTTATGTTATTCTTCTTTTCTTATATATAGAGAGAACTTAAGTTTATGGATGAAGAAAGAATTTATTATGATAAAGACCGAGGCAAAATTAGACAAACAAATAGATATTTTGTAGAATGTAATCTTTAGTCATCAACTATCAAATAAATAAATATTCAAATTTGATGATATATGTACATATCTTAGCATGCTAGTAAGTAATAATGCTCTTAGGTCCAGATTATTGTAACTTGTTGATGTATTCTGTTTAATGTTCATTCTTCAGTTTGAAGGTCTTCTAGTTGAACATAGCTGATGCCTGTATGCCTGATAATATCTTCCCTACGCGGGGAATGAAATGAGTTGCTTTGATGTGACCGCAGTACATTGTCATTTAAAAATTTATGTTCTAGTCCAAACTTATAATTTCTATCTCGTAAAATTTCAACTCTTTCTATTTTCTGCTTTCTAGGTGATGTCGCTTTCAGGATTCTAGAATCAATCAACAGCACTAGGCGTAGAGCATTGCAAGATGTTAGTGAAGACGGTTTACAAGAAGAGACTCAGATATATGTTTGTGATATCAACCCTAACATGTTGAATGTAGGTAAAAAACGAGCCATGGAAAGAGGTAATGTTCAAAAATCTCAATTTGAATGGTTATTCTTCCTATATGTTGGCAAGATATTGTTTTATTTCATTTCATCCTTTGTTATTAGAAATGAAATTGTGTGTTAACGTTGATAGGTCTTGGAGAAAACCAGTCACTTATATGGGTGGAGGGAGATGCAGAGGCCTTGACTTTTGATAACAATTCAATGGATGGTTACACTATTGCATTTGGGATAAGGAATGTTACACATATAGAGAAAGCACTTGCTGAAGCCTATAGGTGAATTCTTGACTCGTGGCATGTTTTAATCATAAATAGTGGGCAGATTCATCTTAAGCATGCTGGCTTTGTGCGCTCGATAGGTGCGAAACAGTTATATCTCATGTATCTGTCATAATTTGGAATGGAAAAGAATTTAAATCTCAAGGCAAAATATGAAACATTTCTGAGCAAGACTGTGAGAAAAAGATTTATTTATTAATTATATTCAAGGAAAAAAAAAAACACCAAGGGCAGATCAAATATGAAGTCAATTTGCATCAGCTCTTATTCCATTGCTGTAATGTAACACTGCTCGATTGTCATTTTAGTACTTTGAAAATGTATGAGAAGAGGCCCATGTCTAATCTCTCACCATCTCCAAAATTCTGACACATTCTACGTGACCTATAGGTTACATGTCTTATCATATTGTTGTCCTTTTATTGCTATTTCTTCTGCATGTTAACTGATAAAGCTTTTTGTTGTTTTCTATGTTTTGCATTACATGTGGATTTAGATATTTACTAGTTAGGAATACCTCTGGTGGTCATGGATTTCCTGCTGGGAAATTCGTGAAATGCGCTTCTTTCTCGTCATGTCTGATGTACTAATAGTACTATCGTCCTGGTTTCAGAAGCAAGATTGTAAAATTATGTAGTATCTAGATCCTGGAAACTATTGAGCGAACAAAAGTAAACGAAAATAGAAAAAGGAAAAGAAAAAAGAAGTTAATTCAAGAGTTTTTATTTTATTTACGCACGAAACATTTCAGATGATATAATTTGTCCATCCCAAACTGATCTCTTGCTCTTATAATCAGGTAAGCCGTTAGCCAAATGTAGCATAAAGAATTTTGCAACATTTTCTATGTTCAAGTGGGTTTGAAGCAATATCTTTTGCTGGATCAAGCAACTGAAAGTCTTCCAGTTTGTTTATTTATTTTCTCACAAGGCTTTAGAGGCATCCCCGTATTCAAGGAATTGCAAGTATCCTTGACATTTTGTTGTTGAAGCTTTTTACCTGACGTATTTATGATGTTAACCTTTAATATATGATTCTTTTATAGGGTGCTAAAACGTGGTGGAAGGTTCCTTTGTCTTGAGTTGAGTCATGTGGACATTCCGGTGTTTAAGGACTTGTAAGTATTCTTTATTCGTTTAGCTTGGAGAAAGTTGAAGTTTACACTATTTAGAGTCTTAGCTTTGTTCTAATTAAGTGTGACCGACAATCATTGATTATTAATTGTCTTACAGGTATGATTATTATTCATTCTCAATAATTCCTGCCGTAGGAGAGCTAGTTGCGGGTGATCGGGAATCATATCAGTACTTAGTTGAGAGCATCCGCCGTTTCCCCCCTCAGGTTTTAGTTCTTCCTCCATACTTATGCAATCTATTATTACATTAATTGCGTTTTGGTTGAAGGATTCTGGTAACAGGCTTTGCTGAAGTAACTATACAGCAAAGCTTTGAGGACACATTTTTCCTCTCTAAAAGAATAAATAAAACTTTGAAACCTTTTGAGCGACAAAGTGGACACTGTCTTATTTGCTCTGCGCTTTCCCATCAAGAGCAGACATGTTCGGAAACTATGGTAGACAAGCTAACATATAGGAGCAACATCTGATGTTTTCAATGTTAGTGTATAAAAAGTACATTGTCTACGATAGATGCATTGGTGGCTCATTCTTTTTAGCCACTCCACAACTGACATTGGAATACTAGACTAATATATAGTTCTTTGATTTCCAACTACCTGTATCTGTTGGTAAAAGACCGTTATTTTCCTTTCTTGTAGATGAAATCTCTTGGTAGAATAGTATCTGGGCTTCAAAGCATTAAGATAATCTAGAGATCCATTTGGAGCTTCGATGCATTTTACGACTGCTCGAGTCATATATATGAACGAGGATTACAGTTTTTAAACCTTATTGAAAAACTTTTCACTGAGCCCTATTACCGATTTCTTAAGTTTTTTTTTTCTTTCCTGTTGCTTAAAACCTGATGGTGTAATTGATATTTCTCTTATATATATATATATTTTTAAAATTAATGTATATTTTAATTTTCTGTCTCTGCATTGCTCCTAATTATGTTTTGTTGTATCAACTTTGTAATTGATGAATGCAGGAGACCTTTGCGTCGATGATAGCGGATGCGGGATTTCAGAAAGTAGAGTATGAAAATCTTGTTGGAGGAGTGGTTGCAATCCATTCAGGCTTAAAACTATAGCTGGATGGTGAAAATTGGGTCAAAACATGTCAACAGAATGTACGTTACACAATTTTGGGATATTGAGTTTTAAGTTTTTCTGGATATTGAGTTTTAAGTTTTTCTGGATATTGAGTTTTAAGTTTTTCTTGCATGGCTTCAATTCCCAATTTCCTATTCCAAATATTAGAGTAGGTCCAAATTTGTTTCTTTTGGTTGATTAAAATAAAAAAGGTGTCAAACATGTTCCATGCTTCGTTGTTATGTATCGTTTATGAAATCTTTCGCTAAGCCATATAAAGAGACCATATTGTACCAAAGAAATGTGTAGCATTTTATGTTTTCCTCTTCCCATGCATGTTGGATTTGGATGTTGTCTAGTTTATATGTGAATTTCAATTTTATACTAAATCTACAATTTTTTGGTCAATTATTAGGGGTTGTTTGGTTGGGAGATTCATACTCCGATTCGAATCATGGTTCATGGTTCGCTACAGTGTTTTCTCTCACAAAAAATACACGTAAATCGAAAATGGTTCTAATTTCATGATTCTAATCCATGAACTAAACATCTCTTTAGTTTTTACAACATAGGTGAATGTTCGGCTCGTCCGGCTTGGCTCTAAAAGGTAGAGGGTCAGTCCAATTTGACCTTAAAGTCTGATGGGCTTAGCTGGCCCGTCTAAAATTTTATAAGGTGTTTAAAAAAAGGGAGAAAGAGGAAAATAGGCCAAGGCTTGAGATGAATTAAAATTAATAGGCTAATAGTTTACATAAATTAATAAATAGGCTAAATTATTGTTTTTGTTCATAACTTGTCTAGTTATGAACCATAACTTACAAGTTATTGTCCATAATTCACGGTTTTTGTCCATAACTTGTTTGACTATAAACCATAACTTGACAAGTTTGTCCATAACTTATCTGGTTATGAACCATAACTTGACAAGTTATGGCTTATTAATTTCTATAACTAAAAATTGGCCTATATACTTTCTTAAGCTTTTCATATTGGCTTATTTTCTACAATTTCCGTTAAAAAAAAATTAAAAAGGGAAATAGTAGAAAATATGCCAATATGAAAAGCTTAAGAAAGTATATAGGCCAATTTTTAGTTATAGAAATTAATAAGCCATAACTTGTCAAGTTAAGGTTCATAACCAGATAAGTTATGGACAATAACTTGTCAAGTTCTGGTTCATAACCAGATAAATTATGGACGAAAACAGTAATTTGGCCTATTTATTAACTTATGTAAATTATTGGCCTATTAATTTTAATTTATCTCAAGTCTTGACCTATTTCTCTCTTTCTTCCAATTAAAAAAGCTTTTGAGTTTGAAACCTTAGCCCGGCCCGGTTAAACCTTACGTTTATAACTTAAATGATGTTATCTTTTAAAATTATCATAAATGTGTAGCCAAACAGGCAATATATATATATATATATGTATGTATATAAACTAAAAAAAACTAATTCTACGTTTTGAGGTAACAAATTTAAACATTGAACCACAAAAATATCAAAACAATTTACATAGTTTTATGTGCGAAAACTTATGTTTGTTGTGTTGTCAAAGGTGCAAAATGCCATTAAAGTTGTCAAATGGCAACTTAATCCAAAATTTAAATTTAGATTGGGAAAAATGCAAACCTAACCCCTTTAAAATTTTCATCTTTTTTTTAAAGGGAAATTTTCACTTTTTTATTGACCTACTTATAACTGCGTCTTTATATTAAAATAAATCAACTTAAACAACTTAAACAAAAAGGATAATGCTGAATAAAGAGGTCAATATTATTGATTTCACATTAAATTTCAAGGTCAATTCTAGAATTTTTTTTTTAATTTCTTAAATTTAAGGGTACAATATATGTCATAATTCTCAATATAGCTTTAGCGCAGGGTTACAAAAGAATATGATCCTGAAATCAAAATACAAAGTTCCTTTAAAAAAAAAAATCAAATTAAAAAGGGCACAATTCTATTTCTATTGCAAAAATCAAGGGCATAAAACTAAGAAAGGGACTAAGTAGGGCAGAAGCCCTATTTTCTCAAAGTAGAAGGGTGCGTACTCATAGCTTTTAGGGTTTAAGCCAGAGAGGGTTCTGTTCTCTCTCTCTCTCCTCTCTCTCTCTCTCCTCTGGTGAAGCAATACAACATGTCATCTTGGCCAGAGCTTAAGGCGCCACCGGAGATATTCTACGACAACGAGGAGGCTCAGAAGTACACGTCGTCTTCTCGCATCTTCAAAATACACTTAAAACTTAAACAAAAAGGATAATGCTGAACAAAGAGGTCAATATTATTGATTTCACATTAAATTTCAAAGTCAATTCTAAATTTTTTTTTTTAATTTCTTAAATTTAAGGTTACAATATATGTCATAATTCTCAATATAGCTTTAGCGCAGGGTTACAAAAGAATACGATCCTGAAATCAAAATACAAAGTTCCTTTAAAAATAAAATCAAATTAAAAAGGGAACAATTCTATTTCTATTACAAAAATCAAGGGCATAAAACTAAGAAAGGGACTAAGTAGGGCAGAAGCCCAAAATTTCTCAAAGTAGAAGGGTGCGTACTCATAGCTTTTAGGGTTTAAGCAAGAGAGGTTCTGTTCTCTCTCCAATACTCTCTCTCTCTCGCCTCTGGTTAAGCAATACGACATGTCGTCTCGGCCGGAGCTTAAGGCGCCGCCGGAGATATTCTACGACGACGAGGAGGCTCGGAAGTACACGTCGTCTTCTCGCATCGTCAAAATCCAGTCGGAGCTCACTGAGAGAGCCCTCGAGCTTCTCGCTTTGCCCGACGATGGCGTCCCTAGGTTGCTTCTCGACATTGGTAAATAAATTCATCGGATTTCTCAAAGATTTGTGTATTTTCGAGTTGTTAAAGTTTCGATTTTGATTTCGAAAGCTCAATTTATTATTATTATTATTTTTTTTTGGAATTGTTGAAATACAGGTTGTGGGTCGGGGCTTAGTGGGGAGACTTTGTCGGAAAATGGTCACGAATGGATTGGTTTGGATATTTCGGCTTCAATGCTTAGTATGTGAATCATGTAATTGTTATTTTAATATGTAGTTTTTCTCTTTGTTTTTAAATTTTTTAATCTAATTATATATATGTTTGTGTATATACATACATATACATATATATATATATATATTGTGTTCTGAATTGTAGATGTTGCGTTGGAGAGGGAGGTTGAAGGTGATCTTTTACTTGGCGACATGGGTCAGGTAAGCTTCTTAGATTGAGCTATTTGTGTTTTTCACTTGAGATTTTCCTTGTTATTCTACATGGATTTCAACTTTATTATGAGAAAAATTATTATTTGTTACCTTTAGAGTTCAGGATTTGTGGCTACTAAATTGTAATGTGAAAAAGGAAGGGGTTTGGAATGGAAGATGTAAGAAATAAGAACGACATTTTTGTGGTAGAGTATGAAAAGGGCTCTGTTTTGAACCGTAATTGTATCAAGTTCTGTCAGTTTTGTATGCTTTCTCGTTTTGATGTAATTTTGACCGAATATAATTTCAGAAACATGCGCCATACGCTACCGTTGGAAGCTGCAAATAAGAAAGGATTTAATCCTAATAGTTTTAAGTATGAAATGTCCTTGTGCATTTAACAGCTCTTGGTTAAAAGTCTAATAAGGTTCCAAAAGTAATTTTGTGATTTATTTCAATGCAAAGGAATAGAAGATCAAGGGTAGCTTAGGATTGGGCTTCTCTTTTTATCATTTTCTACATCACGTGGTCCCCGCCAAATTAGCATTCTTGATTTTGTTAAAATGAACAGTAGGTGGGAAAGGGAAATAATTCTTTCTGTTCTTCCTTTTCCATTCATGATAAGTAAACATGTGCTAGAAGTTCGGTTTAGTCTTGCTTTTGAGAGATTGTAAGTTTGGCAAGTTTTGAACTCGAACGTGCTAAGCGGTTTTGGGTGTATGGGACCTCTGGGTTATAAAGTATTGTGACGCTAGTTAAAAGATAGATCATTCATGCAATTCAACTATTGAATTGTGTCGTTACCAAGTTGAATTGATAGAAGATGACAAATTTGTTTCTTGTTTCAGGGATTAGGGCTTCGTCCTGGTGTTATTGATGGAGCCATAAGTATCTCGGCTGTTCAGGTTTGCTTTCTTTGGCTTCACTGCTCTAAACTTGAACATTCTTACCATTTCTTTTTATATGAGATGAGTTAGTCATTAGCGCTCCAGAATTTCTCTTGTAAAATGTGAATTGCTGTCTTGTTGCATTCTCCTATTAGTTTAGCTACTTCAATCGTTTTTTCTTGTTCAGTATTGCCTTGTTAGTTTAGCTACTTCAATGCAATAATCTTACACTCTTTATTTTTGGATATGGAAAATGCAGTGGTTATGCAATGCTGATAAATCCTCACATGAGCCGCGACTAAGATTAAAGTATGACCAGCGCACTTAAGATTGTAATGCAAGTACTCCTTTTTCTTCTCTTTCGTCATTTTTTGGTTTGAACATTATTTTTTTCTCTGTGCTGAATTTCTTTTCAGGGCTTTTTTCGGATCGTTGTACAGATGCTTAGCAAGGGGAGCAAGAGCAGTATTTCAAGTGTATCCCGAAAATCTAGATCAGCGTGAATTGATTTTGCGTATGGCAATGCAAGCTGGATTTTCCGGTGGTGTGGTTGTCGATTTCCCCCACAGGTAATGCATGAAATCGATCAAAAGAATCCATGATATTTACGGAAGCTTTTGATTTGCCTTACTAACTTCAGGAAATTTCTCTTAGTTCCAAGAAAAGAAAGGAATACCTTGTTCTCACTTGTGGTCCATCTGCACCTGTTTCAAAGGCGCAAGACGAAGATGGTGGGAGTTGTTCCGATGATGACGTTAACGAAGATGAAGAAAATAAGACGGTAAGTTTTTTCATGGACACAAATATTTCTTCTTGTCCTCTCTCAAACGTAATTTCATTCGACAAAGGCTGATTTCAACCCGAAAGGTGAGAGGACTAAATGTTGTTTGTATCTTGTCATACAGGTTTGCGTTTCTGACAGGCACAGACCAAGGAAAAAGCAGAGAATAACTAAAAAAGGCAAGGGAAGAGAATGGATTATGAAGAAGAAGGAACAGATGAGAAGAAGAGGAAATGTCGTACCTCCGGATACAAAGTACACTGGCAGAAAACGAAAGGCTCGATTTTGAAAGGCATCGTTGCTTGTGTGTTGGTTGTGCTTTTAGTTCCTTTTAACCCTCCAACCATATTTGGAGGTTTAAGAGGACCAATGTGAGATTTATTATTTGTTTTATTTTGGGAAAATTTTTGACAAAAGAGACTTGATAATAGTTGGCCTTTCCAAGGATTGGCTAATTGGTTTTGACAATACTATACAAGGCATAGAGTTTCATCATCTTCGACGCCGCTTCATAGTATTCTGTACGCTAAATTCTTTAAAGTTCTCCCTAGAACTTTCATCACTGTGATGACTTGCCCCCCCCCCGGAATTCTCTTATAGTATCTGTTTCCCTCGAACTTTGAAACCGTATCCTGTTAACTTCGGAAATGCAACCTATCATGTTGGAAGCGTACAACTCCTGAAAAGGCTATTTTTTTCCCTCACTCAAAACTCAGAAAATGTGGAGATTTAAGACCCGTTCACTTTGCAGATTCGAGTTTTTAATTTGTGACATTTTATGAGAGCTTTTTACTGTAGCAAAAAAAGTTAGATGTGATATTTTCTGAGTTTTTTACTGTATAAACCTAAAGCTGAAAATTCAAATCGGTAAAATAAACGAGGCCTTAGGTCTCGTTCACTTCGCAGATTTGAGTTTTCAATTCGAGTTGAGATGTGACATTTTTTGGGAGCTTTTTATTGTAGTAAAAAAAAAAAATTAGATGTGACATTTTTTAAGACTTTTTACTGTAAAAACTTAACACTGAAAACTCAAATTAGTAAAATGAATAAGACCTAGTGGTCATTTTTGGGCATCTTCTCCCCGTTTCTCTCGTTTAATGGCAGCAAGCAGCTCGATGAAGTCGAAACGATTTGAGCTTAGCTTGCTAGTCATGGGCGTAGCAAGAGCAATGTTGAAGAGAACTAGGTTCCTGTGAAATTTTGCCTCAATAGTCGAAGAGGTTTGATCAAAGTGGTGAATAAATAAAAAATTGGAGTCTGAAATTCAGAGTTGACGACTATATATTTCTTTTGTAGAAAGAGATGAAGAATTAAGGTTTCGTTCACTTCACTAATTCGAGTTTAGAATTTGAGTTTTGTTACAGTAAAAAGTTCTCAGAAACAGTCACATCTAACTTTTTTAATACAGTAAAAAATTCTCACATAAAATCACATCTCAACTCAAATTAAAAACTCAAATAAGTGAACTAAACGGGCTAAGTTTAGGATGTTGAAATTAAAAGGTTGTGATGAAGTGGAAAAGTTTCAAAGGTTACAACTTTATTTACTGTAGCAGCTGTAATGGGTGTTTTTTCCTTTTAAAAAAAAAAAGTACGCTAGGCTATAATTTGTGCTCTTTTATAATTATTATTTTGGATATTTGAATATTTGAATATTTGTTGATGTTTTGCGTGTGCAAATGCGCTGTGTTTGCTATTTAGAAAATCAGTTTACACAGCATAAAACATGAAAATCATTATAGTAATGTTTTAGGGTAATTTGTACAAGTGTTCTCTAATATTTTTAAAAGGTGACAGTTTGGTCCCTAATTTTTTTTTTGATAAAACGACCCCCAATCTATTTAAAAAGGTACAATTTTATCATTTTCGTCAATTGCCGTCTAAAAGGTAACACTACAGTGAACGTGAGAACCCACGTTACCCATGTTGTTGGGGTATATGTATAAAAACACATCTTGGAAGAATTGAGGTTGATTTATACATAACAAGTTAGGGTTTGTGAAATTTTTTCTTTGATTTGGGGCTGCTGGGCTGCAATGGATCGCGGAATCATACTCACAACTAGCACTGAATCAACCCCAAATAATAATATTGCAGAAACAATATATCCTTAAAAAAAATGCCCAAACTAAACCGTATACACTAACATCACTTCCCTAAAAAAAAAAAATCCCCAAAAAAGGTCTCATTTAGGTTATTCATTTTACCAAGAAATATGAATAAAATTCCGGTTGAGAAATTAAGAAACTTACGAAAAATAGGTGGCTTTTCTCCTTTTTTCCGCCGAACTACCATCTTAGACCTAAATTCAGACTTTCCCTTTCGCCGTCGCCGTCGCCGATTGAAGAGGTCTGGAATCAGAAGTGTCCCACGCATTCAACACCCTCGAAAACGCTATCCCTAAAATTTGTCTAAAACCCTAAATCACTCTCCAAATGAAGAAGATGAACCGAATGGGTGAGTAGTAGAAGTTATTCCAGAAACTTCTCTCTAAAAAAAATTTGAATAACATAACTGTAATTAAGGGCATTTTCGTCTTTCCAACAACATGGGCCACGTGAGTTCTCACGTGCACTGTACCGTTACCTTTTGGATGGCAATTGACGGAAAGGATGAGATTGTACCTTTTTAAATAGGTTGGGGTCGTTTTGTTAAAAAAAAAGGTTGGGACTAAACTGTCACTTTTTAAAAAGGTCATTTGTGCATATTACCCTAATCATTAATACGTAATCTTATTATTCTTAAATTATTTTTGAAACATAATATTTATTTCAATTTTTTTTATGGAATATGTATTTCAATTTTATTATGCTCCCATATGGTTCGTTGGTTTCAATTTTGTTGATTTGAACTTTTAAATTTGAACATAAAAATTCAAACTGTGTAGTTTAAATTGTAATTTGAATTAACGTTTAGATGTGTAGTTAAAATTTTAATTTGAGCAAAGAATACGTGTGAAAAGCAAAAATAGTTGGCAATTTTTACTGTTCAAAAATGATTTGAACCATTCAACTTAAGAGGAAACTAAACTCTAAGTTGGACCGTTTAACTCAATTCAAACGAGAAATATAATTTAAATTATATGCTTACTAAACGCCAATTCAAATTGTGCTCACTGCTGAAGCTGAGTTAAAAAAAAAAAAATAAATAAATAAATAAACTAGTAAAACAGACTGGACTGTCCATTTAGTGTAATTTCATTTTGACAAAAAAAGGTTGACAACTTCATTAGAATATCAGTTCTCTCTAACAAGTCAAATTACCCTTAAAAACTACACGTGCCATACACGTGATCATTTCCAGCGAACTGTTGCTGCTAAAATTCAGGAGAAATTGTAAAATTTGTTCTGTTTCAATATATAAAGCCCCTCGCAGGATTTCAACCAAGAAAAAAGGCAGCCCATCACAGGAGGCAGAGATGTCGTAGGAAGTAATATAGTATGCTGTAAACATGAAGAACAAGGCACCAAAGACGCAAAACGTTTCTAAGTAAGCGACCATCAATTTCCAATAAAAACCACGCATGTGCAAGTTTGCAGTGTAAATCTAGTACATTAATTTACATTACCAGGAAGGGTTTCCTTCCAAATATTCCCATGTAGTTATTACAAGCCAATAATCCTAGCGTGTAAATGTAAAAATATTTACCAACTTATACACACACCAATCCTCCAGTGATTGGCACTTCCAACCCTCGGAAGTGTTCAGATTGCAGACATGCACAACACGGCTTGCAGTGTCGGCCAGGTGGGCCGCGTGACAACGTTCGTAGAAGTAGGCCCTCGGGTTCCCAACCAAATAACAGAACAGGTTTTCGTGATTATCGTTTCCTGTATTGCAGGCGCAGACTTAAGGCCCCAGGAAATTGTGTGCGCAATGTTTATGTTGACGGCTGATTTTCTGCGCACGTGAGAAAATATTTACGGTTAAAAAATGACGATGCAAGAACAATATCTGCAGATATGAAAGCTTAGTCGGATAATTGTCTCGTTCACGAATCAAAAGTGAGTTTCCTTGGACGAGGCAGGCGAATGTCTGAACATTAAACTTGTGAACGAACACTGTTTCTCGGTAAATAACGGTACGTCACCATCTGTAGTAATTAAAAGATACCTTCTCCAAAAACCTGTTCAAATCGAGCAACAATGTGTTTCCCATAGGTGTACTTCTTCAACGCATGAGCATGAGCTCTTATACGGTTGAGCAATATTGTCCGTTGATTCTCTGTACAGATTTCAAGGGTCTTCTGGACCACATAATTTGCAAATTGATCCTTCATCATTGCCTAGAACGAAATCAAACATGTAGTCAAGTATCTGACAAGTTTCTACATTAAAAAAGAATACAATAAAAACAAAAATGTACGTTTTTGGTTAAAAATTTCAATCCTATAATTGCAACGTATCATATGCTTTTCAACTATGGCAACCTTCATAAGTCGGAAAGCCAAAAAAATGAAGAAAATGGTGACAACAAAGGCCGCAGTTTGGTGTAAGATTTCTTGTCAAGTTCAACAGTAATTTCCCCAGCCAAACGAGAAAATTTAAGTAGGGAAAATGTTCCGAAACAAGAGAAAGGCCTTATGCTTTTTTTGGTTACTTAGGTCAAATGGACAATCAAAAGATTTGAAGATAAAGAGCACAAGGATAATTGATTTTTCCTCTGTACAAAAGAATTAAAAAGTCACTCCTACTTACCAGCAAATTATCATTTCCCTCATTATGCCCAACAATCTCACCAATTAGGAGTTCCCGTTCTCCAGGACCACCGTACTCCAAACATTTTTCAACAACATTTGATGCAAACTTATGCTGGCTCAACTGTACAACATGCCCTGACAACTTGCTGATAATTTGGCGTCTTTCATGAGGTTTTCCCCTCTCTAACACATGCTGCGAACAGATTAAAAACAATACATCAGTATCCAAAGAAACACAGTAGGAAGGAAAAACATATCGCAGAAAATTAAAGGAAAATAGGACAATAGAAATCATAGAAGCTGCAACAGATAGTAAGAATAATTTGATTAACAATCAAATAGTGTTCACCGATCCAAGTCCCATATAATGGTACGCCAAGTATAGTATGGTGTATTCCTTACAGGAATGGATTATGAAATAATGTAAAAACGAGAAGAAAAATACAGATAACGACTTGTCCATAGAGGAAGGCAAATCGAGATCTACAATCCCTTATGGCCTTCAAATATTATTCTCTCCAAACATGGATGGCACTGAAAGGTGAGATTGAACGACATACGATCATTGACAGTTGAAATTAGTTTGACATCCAACCCATACCATTCATTCAAGCTGGTCAATAGTAAGTGCTCACTTCTTCGTTATGTGCTAGGGTGTATGTATGAGAGAGAGAGAGAGAGAGAGAGAGACCTGAGTGACATAATTTCCATACTGATCCTGAGCCAGAGCACATACAGACTCCAAGATTTCATCAACTATAAATTGGCATTGCAGCTCATCTGTGCAATGCTCCAGAACTCTCTACAAGAAACAAAAATCTTCAAGCAACCATATTGGGAGGAAGAGGAGAACCTCACCATCACTCAAGTTTTACTATTTACCTGTATAACACGACAACCATAAGGATGCATAGAAAGCGTTGCAACTTGGCCACGGAATGCAGATATTATAAACCCTATCTTTTCTGTTGGAATGCTCTCGATGCATTTTTGTATTACATGGTTTCCATTTTGGTCCCGGACACATCTCATAACATGTCCATCAAGTTCACGAACAAGCTGTGCTTTTTGTTCAAGCTCGATGACCTCTAGTGCCTGTACCAGCACAAGATTAAACACTCTTATTATTAGCCCAAAGGAGAAAAGACATAACAAAACTGCAAAAACCATCAGCCACCAACTGGCTTCAGCTCCTTTCTTGAATGCCAGAAAGGAGCCAAACAAAACTGCATTTGAATGCCAAATTTCAGAAGAAAGAAACAGATATTCACAGCCTCCACAAGAAAAATGAATAAGTAGAAGGATGAGGGCATGTTATAATGCAAGGAAATTAAAGGAAACGATAGAAATAATGGAAGGACCGCAATAAGTGCTGATCACATCACTCAAACAATTGCACTCAAATCAATATGATCACTACGTGCCAAGCTGCAAAAATGTCTCTATATAAGTATATATAAATAAAAAGATTAATCCTTTGGTCGCTCTACAAAACCATGGTGAATTTTTGAACAACTTCAGAAACTAGTACTTTCTTGAACTAAAAATTTGGGGACTAAAGTGAGATTTTGCCCTAGTTCAGGAACCAACCAAAAGAGTAATTCTAAAACAAAAGAAACAAAAAGAATTATAAGAGAAGCACAGAGGAGAGATAGCCAGAAACAGCTGGCTTAGAAACTGCAGGAAAAAATAGTGACCCACTAAAAAAACTGCACCGCCAAAAGATAAACCAACCAGAAAATCATGTCTTTCAACAGTGGAACCAATAGGATTAAAAAACTCTCAAGAAACATTCACCTCGTTCTGTTATAATTAATATTATGAGAAACACTTAGAACGAAAACTGACAAAATTAAAAGCTGAAAATTCTTCTCCTCTTTTTGGAGTCTTTTTAACTTGTCAAAGTCCACTCTTCAAATAACCATTTTCGTCTACTATGCTTTTATGTCCTTTAGTTAAAATCTTTCTATATTCTTAAAAAAGAACGGATTAATTACAAAAATTCCCTCCGAACTACGGCCCTTGTAACATTTTGCCCCCCGAATTTTAAAACATAATATATGTTTCCCGCAAACTATGAAATCATAACAAACAACTTCCTTCCGTTAAGGTTTTGGACGGAAATTACATGTGGCATATATCAGTGCTGCTTTCTAAACATTTGGTGCATATTGACTATTCTGCCCACGCTTCACTAATTTGCATTGAAAAAACAAATTTACATTTAATATAAATAAACAGAAAATCAATTCATCTTCTTCATCAAAATTCCAAATTTGAATTAGGTTAACAGGGTTTTCATTGAAATAAAACAAATAGATTTTATACAAAGAGTAAATGACCAAACTAACCCCAAATTATGTACCAAAAATCAATTACATTTCAATTTCCATCCAAAACCCTAATGGAAGGAGGTTAATTGTTTTATAGTTCGAGGGAATGGATGTTACGTTTTAAAATTCGGGCGCCAAAGTGTTAGAAGAGTCATAGTTCAGGAGGAATTTTTGCAATTAATCCAAAAAGGAATTAAGTACTTGTTGAAGAAATATATATACATTTAATAAAAAAAAGGGTGCAACTTTGTAAAGTCTCCCTCTATTGTTGCTGGTTTTGATAGATTGTTGGAATGTTGATCCTCTGTTCTTCCTAGTTTATTAGGCCTTTTAATAATGTCTTTCATGTCTTATCAAAATAACTTCCCAATCTACCTAAAAGTTTCAAGTTCACTTTCACTCATACGATGGCTGATATCTTTTATCATAGTTCCCTTCAATATAAGGAACAAAACACATATATTAAACAGCAGGATAAGACAAACAAACAAATGATGAATAATGAATGAAAGAACGAGAGACAACCTGCAGAAGAAAGCCACACCACGTAACTCTTTCTTGGATCTTAGCAACTATTTCAACTTGTTAAATTATTGCTAAAGTATAAGCTAACTTATAACTTTAGTTCCGAGTTAACAAAATTTCAGGTTTTTCCTTAATATCTTGGGAGTTTGACAACATTTAACAGTGTTCCATACTGAATACAGTTGGCTAGAGATACTTGGTACGAAGCATCAACAAGCAGTTTAGGGAGAATCCCTATGATGCCGCCTGTTGTCCGTAGATGAGAAAGAATAAAAGAACATTTGATGGAGAGAAATGGAGAAGCATTGAACTTTTGATGGGAAAAATGGAGACGCATTTTATTGTCAGAGATCAAAGGTCCATGTTGCATGCATCTACTACCACTAAAAGCAATCATTCGGCTCAAAAATCCCTTGTGCATTTAGAATGGTCTACCCCACTAAAATGGCCAACATCTACGATTTCTTTTAATACGATGTGGGGCCTAAGACTGCCAATCTATTAAGAAGAAATGAAACTACCAGGACTCAAACCCTGGATCACACAGTCACACACTCATGCATCCAACCACTTGAAGTATTCCCTAACATCTATAATAATAGACGTATAGTTGCACTTTGGACAAAAAGCAATTGAAATAGGCAAACAAATAGAGAAGGAAACAGACAAAACTCCAGAATCTTAAATACAAAAACAATACGAATACAGATTACAGAACATAAGAAATCTTTGCAATTTTAAGAGAGAGAGAAAGAGATTTGTATGGCGCCTAAAAATGTACTTGCATGGAAATTGCAAAAATAAATAGACTAAATCAAATCAGGAATCACATATACCTTTTGAATTACACGACAGCCATACATTTGAAGACTTAAAGTCAATATTTGACCTGTCAGTTGATTTGCAAGTTCCTTCCTCTGATCAGGGCTGCCATACTCAAAAAACTGCAAAATAGAGACCAAAAGAAATTTACAAGGCAGACAAATTAATATGGGATAAGGAATTTAAACCTATACGAAAGAAATGAAAGGGAAAAAAAATGTTTGTAAGTATACCTTTTGAATGACATAGTTACCAAAAACATCAGTCATCAATCTGGATGCATGTGGAAGAACTTCTTTGAACACAGATGCCTTCTCTTCCCCACTACAATTTTCCAACTTCTGCTGAATAAATCGGCTCCCATGTTGATCAGAACTGAAATCCAAAATTCACAATGGTTTACACTCACCTATGGAAAGAGATAGAGACATGTTGAATAAAATAAACTAAAGCGTACTAGAATGTACCTGAATTCGACAATATGTCCTGTGATATCAGATAGCTCAAATCTGCGGCCCTTGCCAGATTTCAACTCCTCAAGGAAATTATATATCTTGGGGTCGTCAAAACTTTCGAAACCTCTCTGCCCTGGCCATCCAGAATATACGTTGGTATTTCTACCAGAAGTTGGTGGAAATCTCATATCAGTTCTCCCCCGAGGAAGAGCAGTTCCACCTGCAGGTGAACCCGGCAAAACTGGACTTGCAAGGGGAGAGGTTGGGTACTGCATCAAAATACCAGCATTTGGTGGATTCCCGAAATAAGTTGGACCCATTGGCCCTCCTCTTCGTGGAGTCATAGCAGGTGAAGGATGTCTCTGATGCTGAATTTTGTGCTCATCCATATAAGGAGCATTATCCAATACTTTCTTTGGGTCAGGAACATTAACCTGACCTCCAATAACACCACCCCTTGCCACCATCGGATCAAACGGACCAGGAATACCATATGGTTCTCCAAACGGCTGCTGAGGATATTGCATATACATAGGGTCAACAAAAGAAGGCTGCATTGGAAAGCCAAGTTGTCCATAAAATTTATTTAAGTTCTGCACATCCACCCCATGAGGAATAGTACCACCAGCTGAAACACCAGGTGTTCGAGTGTTGAAGCTTGGACCTGCATTTCCATCAACAACCAATGGAACAGCTCCAGAAGGAGGATATCCAGCCATGTATGGAGGAAAAGCATTGAGATTCAAAGTATATCCACCAACATATTGTGTAGGGA